AAAAGTTCAGGTCCAGAATGTACAAATCCACACGAAGATTTTGTTTCAACCAACCAGTTTATCATATAGAGTCACAGTCACAGAGAACTCAGCTGGTTCGTTGAAACAAAAGCTTGGTCTGGATTTGTACTTTGTGGACGTGAACTTTCCACCTCTATCTTTAGTGGGTTACTTTTGTGAGTAACTGCTTGCGACAGAAACGCAAAATAAATATTGTGAATAGGTCTGTAATTATATTTAGCCGTAAACGTTTAACGATCAGATATACGTGTCTTTCAGTGAGGGATTGTACTCATTAGCGGGTAAGAAGGTAAGTCGCAAACGTCATAATTAGACCACCGGTCCTAATAAAAGCTGCCCACGCAACACAATATTTACTGGGATAGGAGGCAGTGAGGACCATCCTACTGTGGCCATCTCTGACAAACGGCGTGCAGTGACCTTTTGGCTTGACCAACAGAAATTAATCTAGGTAACTGAAGCAATCTGTCCTTTGTCTATTGTTAAAATGAGAGGAGCGGACGCACTGCAGGGCAATCATCTTGATTAGAGCCCCATGGCATCGGGCCGGGGAAACGCCACGGCATTTACAGAGCACCGGTGCCTCATTACCATACGTGCTCTGATAGGCAAGAGGCACAACGTCAATGTCCTCCACTCTATTCATTAGTAAATAAGGATAGATGGTGAGGAAAGGCTTCTATCGACTGACCACAGCTCTTTAAACAGAAATCAATATCTGGGACGGAGGCATCAGACAGGAACATTAAGTGTGTAATGCGCGCTGGCTTATGATATAAAGGCTTTTTCGACAAGTCATCCCTCAGCCGCCATCGTTGGGGGAAACAGGCAGGGAGGGGCACAGGTGCTGGAGGATATGGGCACCCTGAAATGGGCTGTGTGTATGTGTGTGTTTGTGGTTTGAGGGAAAGAAGACTGTCCAGCAGGGTGATAGGGACACACCTGGAAAAGCTCAGCTTGTACGTCTGGGAATAAACTGCTGCGTTTGTCAAAACCATATAACTGTGTAGGGGGGGGGATACATATGAGAAAATATCCTTTTGTAGGTGTCAAGAGAACACCACGTTTAATAAGAGAGCTGTAGCGCTAAGGTTGATACTGAAAGTACAGGAGGAAGAGAGAGCCGGTCGGGGCACTTCCACCACCATCCGCAGCCGGGAGGTTTATGAGCACAAGGTCGGGACACACAGTACAGGTACTTCGGTTTCAGTGTAGCGAGGGTACGGAAGGCCGACAAAGAGCACCCCGGACCTTCGGCTGTCGGAGGAAGGCAATTATGGGGATGCAAGAGTGGCGTGGAAGGGCAGATGAGCGGCAGAGCACTAGCAAAGTGCTGCCATCCCCCTCCCAGGACCCGTCGCGGTGGAGTCATCCCTATCTTGCACTTTCACAAATAAACAATCTTCCCTCCTTTTTATAAACTGAATATGAGCACTTTGGCCGCAGGGCGAAAAAATTCAATATTTCTCCAGCTAATATTTAAAGCAAACAAAGAGAAAAAAAAAAATAAACAGGCAAATAAATAGATCTAGCACACCACCAGAGGGGTCAGTGAGGCCCCTGGATGTAATTTGACATCTCAGTTATTGGGGGGGGGGGGGGGGACTGATGGTTTGAGCTATTCAAAGGCTTATTTAAGGATCTGTCAGTCAGGGCATGGCGCTGTCGTTCCGGAGTCTTCTGCTGGAGAAGGAAGTGTCACGGAGAGCCTCAGCTTGGGAGCCGATAAGGTGAACATCTCCTCTAATGTAATCAGAAGCCTGACTGCCGGAGGCAGCTATCAGAACATCTTAATACTGTCCTAATAGCCTCTTTTATCTCGTACGCGTGTGAAAAATGTATTACACATGATGACCGTAAATAAGGAGCAAGGTGTAGCCGTGTGTTCTCGCTAATTCCTCGTGGTTGATTAAGTTTTAAATCGGCATGTCAGGCCTGTCCTCCGCAATGAGGAATTAAAAGCGTTTTTTTTAGCGTTTATCTTTTTTTTCCCCGTTAGAGGACGGGCACGCCTCCCCCTCTCCCTTCCCTCAGCCTGAGCGGGAGCAAAGGCCAATGATATTAAACAGGAATTTCATCCATTTTAGATGAGATGCAGATGACTCAATTATCCTCGGCTGCCCACGTAGCTGCTGGAAAATAAGGGAATGCACGGCTCTGTCTCGCCCAATAAGGGGGCCCGTAGGTAACGCCGGCATAGAAATGCTACGGCACATTATCGTCTCTGTGCGAAGACCAAACAGTCGTAATTATGCAAATGTCGGCAGCAGCGGTATGCCAGGTTGGGGTCATAAGGGTGGCCTGTTGCAAGGTAGAGGAAGTGGGTTGCAGGCCTTGCGTGGTGACCAGGCTAGAGGAGCAGCAAGGAACCTCGTTCCATCAGGAGCCGGACTTCAAAAGCTTCTTTCCAACAGCAATAAGAATGTCGAACACGCACTGATAAATCGCCACTGTCATTTATTTATTAACGACTGACACTTTCATCCTCTGCACCTTGTTGTCCTACTTGTATGCCATTGTATATTGCATGTATATTGCATATGACATGTATATTTATGTATATTGTATATATTGTATGCTATTTGTCCTCAGTATTCTTTCATTTGCTATTTATTTATCATTATATATGTTGTTTAAGTCTGAAGGGTAGTACGCAAGCATTTCATTGTTCTTTTATAAATAACAAAAAAGCTTTTGGATCCTGGAGTGGTTCAGGCAAGAAGACTGACTTCTTACACTGAGACTGAGATACACGTGGCCTGCTCACATGATCAGAGGGAGAGATCCACCTGACTTTTGCTCAGTCCACATTTTCAAATATTTATTCAGGGTTCCGCCTTGTGCCACTACATTCCCGCGCACCTCAACATCGTAACCAAGCTTTGGTCAATGGTGACATGAATGAGAGAAGATGCAAAATTCATGCATTTTGAACTAATGACCTCTGGCGACCAGCATCCGTGCTGCTGGAAGGCGGGGGGAGTGACTCTTGTGTGGAGATGTTATCTGACCCCCCACCTGTAAACTGATCCAGCTGGTCTTGGCCGTCCCTCTGAGGATGACCACAGGGCGCTCGAGCCAAAGATCTCGGTGTCAATCTGCAGTGCAAACACACTCGGTGGGGCTGAGCCACTTTATCTCCCCACGGCCTATTGTTGGCCTAATTGACAGTGACTTACAAAATGCTTACTGACCCTTTGGAGACAAAGCATGCTTGTACATCCCCGCCACAATCGCCGTCTCAAGTGGGGCATTCCAGGCACTCCTGGAGAACGTTAAGGTGGACTATTCATCACACCTTCACTCAGCGACTGCGTCGATCACTCCAGAGAGGAGAATGTGCGGGTGACACACCTGTGCCTCTATGGCAAGCTACTGAGCTGTTGATGTGTGTTGACGTAGGGTCTCCAGCTAGGCTGCCAGGACCGGAGACCCTCAGTCTGCTGCCTTGGGGAGCAGAATGGAGACATAAAACAGAGGCAGCTTCAATACTTTCTGGTACAATGAAAGACCGTCCCAAAGCACAAGCAAATACCCACAATGCCCAAGTCTGGGGCACCACAAAACCACGGGGTGGAGCCGTCTTCCTTCTGCAGTTTACAGACGTGTGCACACAGCTCTTTGTAAACCCTCTGCTGATGTTTCGTTTCTGTGCCAACCAAGAATGTGGCCAAAGGAAAGGAGGCTAAGGAGGATTTATTTGCTTTTGAATTGCAATCAGGAACCTGGAAGAGGAATTGGTCCTTTTGACTGAAAAAAGCACAAGACCACAAAAAAACCCATAGTCCCTGGTCAGCTTTTTCTGAAACAGTTATTTACTGTAAGGTTGACCAACCTCTTGGTGCATCACTAGAAAACGACCAATAAACAATGTACAAAAGAACTGTACTTATTAAAAGCCGCCTTATCCCTTAATGAAAGATCATCCATTATTTCAAGGCCTCATAAGACACAAGGTCAGAGAGCATTTGAAATCCGAAAAGGATGTCAGTCGATTTCAAGGCACATTTAATAGGTCTTTTAGTTGTTGTTCACCGAACTGACTACTTTGGTAGGAAAGCAACACAGGGAGGTCATGTAAACCTTACACACACACACACACACACACACAGCATTAAGGCTGCCCATTGAGCCACCCTGCTGCCCCAGCCAAAAAAAAAAAAAAAACCTTCAGGTCTATATACAGTAAACAACCTTCTTTATACAAACTGGGTATAGATTAATACATTGGCAATTATACGCTAATTACAAAACATTCTTTAGTGAGACTCACTAACTACATGATAACTGTGTTTAACCAATCAGTGACTCTGATGCTTGAAGGTGGTCTCTGCCCTGATATGTCCTAGCATGCGAGATGAGCCACACTCGTTGTGTAAAATACAGAGAAGTGTGTGTTCATGACACATTCTGGTAAGACTACATTATGGAACAATGAGACAATCCCCACAGAGTAGTTTGTGACTGCAAGCCCACAGTTATCAAAGTTGTTGTGAATTCAAAAGTAGAATTACAACATGTCTGGAGGTCTGAAAATAAAATCACGTCTCTACATTCATCTGTATTGAGAGTCAACAAAACCACAAACTCCCATGTTGGTGAAAACTAAAGGCTTCACACCAGTCAATATGACAAAAGAAGAAAAAAACACAAAATAAAAAAAAACACGGATGGTAATTTCTTAGCTTGGGAAAAGAGCCAAAGTACAATAAATAATGAGACTTGTAAAGAAGGCTGCCGGGAAGGCCTGGCCGTTTGTCAGGGTCTGAGCGGGGTAGCTGGAGAGGGTGACTGACTCAGACTGCAACTCCCAAACATGCATTATTTAATTTAGTGGTTTAAATGTGCTCTTCAGACATTCAGTCTAAATGAAACAGAGTGCGGACGAGCTTGGCACTGGGAGCGCACCGGCGGATTTTACACACACCAGCATACCACCCATGTGACCCAGCGACTGACGACACGGAAGTGATGAGGAAAACTGGGAAAAACATGGAATATTTATTTGCATTCTTATTATAATATGGAAACTCTACTTCATCAAGAACAAATAGAAAAACAAACATTTGACATCCAACACATTACAATCTAGCCATTTAAATCAGACTTTCTGCATTACAATCTAAAGAAACGCTCACGTAACAGCTTTCAATTCTACTTCATCGGTAAGTTAAAAAAAACTAAACAAAACAAAACAAAGCCAAAACAATGGCAACTATGAAGGGCAAGGGTGTTAGATATCGAAGGTGCTGTGATATTGTCGTTAGCATTCATCAACATAGAAAAGAGCCATTGAAAGTCTCTGGTACAGACATCTCCCAATCCCACCAAAAATCTCTGCCTAATGACCCCAACTGCGATGCATGACACGGACACACAAAGGCCACCTGAGAAACAGGCTTCAGAATAGGAATAACGCGCCGGTCGTCTGTCTGTCTACGACAAAGGAGTAGCACGGGGGGTTAGCGTAAAGAGCGCCTTAGTTTGCTGATTCTCATTAATGGCGAAGCAGGTGGAGGCGGACTCATGATGTTCTGGTAGCATATGGGCTAGCGGGAGAAGGCAGGGCCGCGCGTGGGTGGGGCTGGGAGGTGGAGGAGGTGGGACTTGCGGTCCCACACAGTGACGACGAGCGATTAGGTAAAAGACACATATTTATCTGCACAATAAAGTTACGACAAGCCATATGAGATAACATGGGCATTTGATGTAGCCGAGTAGCGATGAATACTGAAGAGCGATTCCGGTCATTTGGCACGAGAATAATCGTAGCAATATTCAGCGTTTGCACTACCTACGGGAAAAAAAGAGACGGAAGATGAGGGAACAGATGATGCTGTAGCTGTGGTGTCATTCTCGTCCTGGCTTGCGCAACGTCCCGCCACCCCCCCCACCACGCAGCTGGGGGTTGGGATAAGAATGGCACGCGCTCTATTGGCCACACGTCTCAGAAGCGATGGACGCCGTCTATAGGCAGATCATTTTCTTCAGCGATCCATTTGGGCCGACACACACGCTGCAGGGACCGTCCCCCTTAAAGCCTGATGGGGAAAAAAAAAAAGACAAAAACATCACAGGCGTCAGAGTGTTCCTACCTTCCAGCCGTCCATCATGCTACAACGTGCATGCTGTGGGCAGGGAGAAGGCCTGCGTGGAACAGAGCCACATTCTGGAAGATGCGAACGCCACCGGGGCAGGAGGGTGAGCGGAGATTGACATTTGAGAGCAAGAAGAGCAGGGAAACGGAAAGACGCCAAGGCGCCGGCGGACAGATCGCAGAGCCCCTGGAGCACAGGGAGTCCGCCCCTGCCCCCAAGCTGAAGGACAAGCAGGAAGAATGGGTCACAGACGAGCAAGAGCGGCCACAGCGCCAGCACCACGCGATCCTCGAAACAAACAGGGTGCTGCAGTACACGCGCTACACGCAGGGAACGAGCAGATAGGGGGCGCTACAGACAAAAGCCACACCTATGGAGACTCGGCGCTGAGCACAGAGCAGCAGTCACGTGACCAAATTTGCAGATGTTCTGTTAAAGTAATGATCCAAACCCAAAACTGCTACTAGTGGTATCTAATAAGTGTTAACTCCTTGTACATTATGGGATTAGTGATGAAAAAAACTGAAAAGCCAAAGCCTTTATGCTGTGATAGGGTCAGTATAAAGTCAGGGATTGAAAATGCACAATATGCTGCTTACTTCCACAAGAGGGACTCGACCCTGCTGATGATGTCGGTAAGGTCAAAGGGCAGCGGCATGGAAGGGTCACCGTCACACCAGTATGGCCGGTTGATTGGCGCCTCCTCAGGGGGTAGGGTCTGGGCGAGTCTGGACTCACACCTGGAAGCAGAAGAGAGATTTGTACACGCTGATCTAAGTCTGGTGTCTACGGCAGATGGTGGAGGAGGTGCACAGAGAATGGGTCATCATGGCCTTTCTGACAAACGGGACAAAAATAATCATGGAATAAAGAACATTTCTCCATGTCGTTTTAAAGGAGAACTGAAAGCCAACAGGAAACGATGGATGCCCTTGGGGGTTTCGTACTCTTCAATCGGATATTTATCAGGAATCCGCAGGGAGGGTGTGTTTTCCGAGGTCAGTAAACGCACAGAACACGTGTACCCCCCCCCCCCACAATGGATACGACTCAATTATCATCTTTAACTGCCAAAGTGACGGGAGAGGAGAGTCAGTAGGAACAGGGTGGTCTGCAGTGAAGAAAACCACGTTGTTTCTGAGGTTGCCGCTTTAAACGGTTACCTCACGAAGCTCGGCGTCGGTTAAATACTTGACGTGGGAATGCGATTGCTCTGCAGCTGTGATGAACTCGGGCGTAATCTCTGCGCTGACAGAAGTTTCCCTTCATTCCATTAAAGAAAAACACCCGATTTGTTTTATTACATTTGCCCAAAGTTTGCTAGATAAATGCAATAATGATCTGCTCCCACCATAATTTCTCTGAAATACAATTTACAGCCTCCCGTCGTTATTTGTGGGACACGGGGAAGCCCTCTACACAGCATACAAGCATCCTCTAATGAGGCGACGCCAGTGCAGCCGTAAATCTGCCGTAAGCGGAGATGAGGGGGCGTGACCCCTGACCCGGAAATGCGGAGGCGTCTGCCCGTACGGTTACAGCCCTGCTCTCTGGGTCATGCTGACCCCCTCAGCCACACATCATTAAAAAGAGACTGCTCCTCACTGACCCTGTTCCCCCACCCTCCCACAGGACGTAGCCCTAACCCCCCTGGGGGTTGCTAACTGAGCGATTGGTCTGAGGTGAGCAAACAGCCTGGGGCGGGGGTGCGGGGGTGGGCGTTTATTTTCCTTTGGTGGCTGCTCGTTTCCAGGTCCGATCCTGAAGTTAGAGCCCCAGCAGTGCTGGAGCGCATCCTGGCCTCAAAACACATAAAATCCACACAGTGTCCCAATGCGCTAAGGTGCGCTGAAGGCTCTCACGCAGCCCTCTGCCTCGTAAGTAACACCATGTGGTGGCCTTAGATCAGGTGTACCACAACGAGAAATGTATATTTTAAGCAAAATTAAAGAAAAAATAAAGAAAAACAAGCAGGCACATAGAAGGTCACCTCATCAGCTAATTCTGAATTTACTCCAGTTGAAGAACATCTGTGTACAGTAGGATAAAGCAGCTTGTGGGACTGCAGATTCCTCCTGAACAAAGTCCATTTCTACTCTCAGGTGGAACAGAAATGCTTAAAGCATTTCAAAATTTCTAATCACTGCATATTTACTAAACAAAGCTTTGTAGCTCCCCGCTGCAGTTACCGATGTGATTTTCTAGGCGAATCTCATACGAATCTCATGTACTGTATTTTTAAATTCCCAGTCTAAAATGATACCCAGTTAATGAGAAGGGCAGAAATGAGAATGTTATTATTATTATTTTTTACACAAGTCCTAACTGTTGCCAATGATTAACCCATAACAGATATGCTAATGATCTCATCTGGCATAATATCCAGAGAGACTGACATTTCAATCTCTTATTTCTGACCGAAACATTATAGGTCATAAGCCCTAGTGAAATCCGACACTAATGCAAGTTACTTCTGATTTTTCTCTTCACACTGAGGACATGGAGCACTCAGCCTGCACCCAGAACTGCCTCTGACTGTAGATTTAACCATCTCAGCTTAACTGAGTGTTAATTATGGACATGCAGGCGGTCAATAAGAGGTTAATGTAAAAGTCAAAGGATAAATTCCTTTAAGTATAACCATCACCGCAGCAGCTCGATGGCCAGCATGGGGCTGGATCAATATGCTTTATAGTAATGTGCTCACTAGCTCACTATGGATTTTACCGGAACCAGGCAGTGATTCTTATACACCTGCCTATATCTCACTAAAAGGCAGGTGAGGGGAAGCCACACAGCATTACTGTGTGCAAACAGAAGTATCACCAAAGCCAGAACCACAGGAGAGCATGGACAGGAAGTCAGCATTGAGATGTGAGTCTCACAGATTCATTCATAAACCATGTGGCACTTCGCTGATTAGACAGAGTGCAGCTTAAGAGACACCAGAGCAGAGCAGACTGATGAGTGGAGGACAGCAAAGAAATGCAGGACGCATGGGATGGATGGACATGAAGGCAAGGAGATTGGGGTAATATTTAGGGATTTTAGGGATTGCCCGATGAACACCCCTCTCAGAACATCACATATGGTACAGTCCAGCCTCAGGAAGGAGTGACAGACATCCCCCTGGCTTCTTCACACTGCTGCAGACCTCCTATTCACCCAATGCCACCAAGCTCACTGTACAGAAACTGGCCCGCAATTGACAAACCGGATGGGCCCTGCTCACCAAGGGGGCTCTCGCAGAGTAACAGGGGTCATATGCTTCAGCAAAGCTTTGCTGGCATAAGGTGAGGTCTCCATCAAGTCTGAGTCACCGAAAAGTCTCTTTAACGACACTCATTGCCCGATTAGCCATAATCAGAACATCAACTGCAAGCGGTGATGCATGTGGGCGGAGCCTCCTCCACCCCTAGACGACACACATGGTCCATAAGTGGGGGGTGTCAAAATGTGACATCTGTTCTTTTCATTTTAATCCATCCCGATCAAAGAAACACCGGCAATAAAACTAACATCTGATAAATCCAGTCCTCTAATGAAAACCTGTGGACCCCCCCCCCATCTTTGCTTTTGGTTCGTACCCTGGATACACGGCTGAGAACAGTGTGCTACCTTTTGGCGCTGTGCCGCCCCCAGGGCTGCACTGAGACACCGCTGTGGGGTCTTTTTACAGCTACAGTCTCTCGGCTTCGTTAAACCACATGAAACAAACGGCACCATTTTCATTAAAGACCCCCCGGGACACTAATTGTGGTGGGGGAGGGAAGGTATGGGTGCCGCTGAACATACGATTACCGCATGAAGAACGGGTGCGTTCTGGGGGCTGTCGCGTGGCCGAGGACTAGACTGTGCACGGGAAACGGATGTAGCATGGAGCCGGCAGACGGCCATAAAGCGGGTGGCTGACCAGCCCCTGTAAGACGAACGATGAGCCCACACTGCAGGCGGACCCCAAGACCAGGTGCACGTCCATTAGCCTTTAACAGCATAACAAATTACAGAACAGCGTGGCTCCCGCCCACTTCCCACCCCAGGCTCTCACATGGGCCGTCACCTGCAGCCGGTGAGAAATTTATGATCAGGAACGACTTCTGTGTGATCGTGGCTGGTATGTAGTGAAAAAGAAACAGGCTCAACACACAGTGTTTTCCAGCACTCCGGGCAGTGGTACATCAGCAAACGAGTGGAGCGGCCAGAGAGACTCGGCCTGGATCACTAAGCCGTGCGACTGCAGCTGGGGTCTGGCCCTCGGGGGCAGGGAGACCCCTGCGTGTGCCCTGATTGTGCCCATGCTGTGAAACGGGCACTACGGGTGTCTAGGTGAGCAGGAGCCAGCACCAGAAGGGCCCCAAAAAGGGATAGTCACATAAAAAATAAATGTGATAGGAGCCAGGAAGGATGAAGGTGAGAACGCCTGTGAGAGTAAGGAGGCACCTCGCGAGTTCAGCTGGGATGCTGATGCCGAGGCCGAACGCGGCAAAGCCGTCCCTCACAAGGGACAAACAGCACGACGTCATTCCTCCAGCAGCCTTCCTGCCAAGTACTCCCAGCCTGTGCCTCCCAGGCATCCTGTACCCGGCGCAATAACCCGGTGATGGATGGGCTGCCATGACAGATATACAGCCATAGCTAGACAGCCCCCTGACCCCGGTCACATGATAAGGTCAGACGAGACTCGCACACAATTCCCACCTGCCCGCATGTAACAATAGCGGGGGGGTAGGGGGGTGGGGGGGTGTTGTCAGGGGACTCTGGGTAATTATATGTGTCGAGGAACGAATTGCCTCGTTGCGAGAGGTTTTATTTGCCGGAAGGGGCACCACAGTAAACTCCTCAGAGCTCTGTGTGACCAAGCGCTGAGGCCGGAGCGCGATCCTGTGGCACAATAGGAATAATATGTCATGACAGCATACGTCAAGTTGCTTTACGGAACAGAGAGGGAAAACACGCACTATTTACCAGGCAGCAGAATAAAATGTGTTCACATTCAACTCCAACTGCCACTTGTGTGCTGCAGGAAGTGCCAGGGGCCACTATGTGGAAGTGCCAGGGGCCCCTATGTGGAAGTGCCAGGGGCCCCTGCGGGGCTGCTTTGAAACCTGATTGCCCTACAAACTGCACTCATTCAAAATTAGTGAGGGGAAGTTGGCGTGGCGGCCTCTGCAAATATTGTGTACATTTAGGTAAAGTTCAGGCTGGGGTATGTAGGTCCGGACGTGGCTCACGAGGGCCACAGAGCGCTGGCTTTGTGCATCCGCCGTTTTCCCCTTGGGGCCGCTGACGTGACAGGCGGATCCTTCCGATGCAGACAGGTAGCTGCCAGCGTTCCGAGCGTGACGTGTCTATGACTGCGGGCATTAGCAGGCCAGTGACCGGCGTTGTGATCCATGACGGTCCCCGGTGGTGCTGAGGTTGGGAGGTAATGTGACCAATAATGGCGGCTCAACAGTGGCAACAAGTTGATGTCTATACAGATCTATACATATATTGATAATGACATTCCACACTACTGATTATGGTTCTCTCTTGAGCTTTGACTCAAGGTATGATGCTGCACTGCTAATGAAAACCTTATTATTTTGCCTGTTTCATGTTGAGTTGCATGGGTAACATGGCATTCTCTGTAAGAAAATGCCACTCTCAGTGTCACGCCCCACACACCTTGCTCACACCTCTCAGGTCCGGCGTGGGGGAACTCAAGGCACGGCTTCATCAGGTACCATATCAGCACGTA